ATACATTATTTAAGCATACTTATATTCTATCTATAGTATAAATTTCATTATAATCTGATTTATTCTACTTAAAATTTTAACATTTAAAGATTGCCGATCAGGTGTTGCGTTCTTTTTGGGAGACGGTGTACCTTGACCGATTTTTTCTATATCCGAAAATTCTTCGTATGGTATTCATTTAGAAATAATTTTTCCTTGTACTAAATTCGCTAATGCACTTTCTTGTTGACATTCCGAATCCACTTTCGTTTGATACTCGGTTGCTTTTTCAACCCCGGAAGAATCAAATGTCATTGTACCAATTTCTATATTTACATTATATGATAAATTAATAGGTCAATATTAATTAGTATTATGTGATATCACATACAAATAAATATTTTACTGTATCTATAAATTGTGTAATATCCAGAACTCTTTGAATTTAATGTAAATCATAAAGACTCTATTGTATAACTAAATCCAACAACTTACTATAATGTATAGAAACCGGGTGACAATCTTTCCTACATGGTGCACCCTCTTTAATTATTTTCTGGCATTCTTCTTCGGCTTCATTAAACTGTAGATGATAATTACTCCTCCATTCTTTCATTATTCTCACTATTTCTTCTATTTCAGGTCTATTTGAAGGTTCTGAATCCTAGCACCTTCGCATTAAGCTTGCCCAACACTCGGGCGTATCTTTGGTAATCTCTGGCCTTAGTCTATTGCATATGTCTACAATAAGATTTTCATCATATGCTCTACTCTGGAACGGTTGATCCCCAGATGTAAGTTCCCACATAATTATTCCTAGACTATATATATTGGATTGAACTGAAAGAAATGCACACTTTAATATTTCGGGCGCAACGTAAGGTATGACTCCGTAAATGCTTGACTTTTCATTTATTGGAAATTCTAGATCATCGATTAACGGGACCATTGAATTTATTAATATATTGCCACTGTGTAAATTCCGATGAATATAATTCGCTTTTTGCATTAAATTGAAAGCCTCCACAATATTTTTCAAAAGTTTCCTCTTATTCGGCCAAGTTATTATACTAAAATTAGCTTGTAAATATTTCTTTAAATCGCCATAGTTCGCATAACTTGTGACAAAAATATAATTTCCAGACACGGGCTCTTGTGAAATTCCGTAAATATAAATAAAACGTCTTTTATATTTGCATGCATACTAATTCGATTTAAGAATTGTTGCTACAAAAATATTAGTAAATAAATGTACAATTATAAGCAAAGCTTCAATGTTAAATACCTCTTTTAATAAGTCAGAGCCCATTTCCTGAGAATCATTGAGAACCTTTAATGCTACTGTTTCCGGTGGAAATCGAGCAAACTTTCCGTCTTTTTATGCCAGAAGCGAAGGCGCCCTTTATTCCATGTTGTCTTATAAACTTGACTAAATCCTCCATACCCAATTTTTTTAACACTTGAAAAATCCTCGTAAGGTATAAATTCCAAGAAAGGATACCTTTTCCATTCTGCAAATTTTCTTAGGAAATTATCTATATCCTGGTTGCCACTTTTTCTCAGAAAAGTCTCTTCAAAATAACAAAATCCACACAATTTTTTTTTCCCAAATTCATTTCCTTTCTTCGTCGTCTTCTGACAGCCTGGGCATATTATAACTGGGCGTCCTTTTATAATAACCTCTTCCATTTATTTCGAATGGATGTCGAGAAATGATGATAAGAAAGTATCTTATTATACTTTTATCTTATTTGATAATCTTTTAAATCTTTTAGAATTTTTATATTAATTATACGTATTGTAAAAACAGCGTATGGACCTCATTTAGAATGAATGAAATTGATTTACACATAATTAGGATAGATTGCGAGTTACGAATGGAAATTCTTAAAGTTTGAAACATCACTTTTTTGATACATTAAAATGCATCAATATATAATGTTGAAAATGAATGCACAACATGTCGAAAATATGTAATCGCGACATGGCTTCGCATTTTTACAGGCTGCACAAATAATTTAATATAACTGCAATTAGAATCGTACAATTCCCAAACTACTTTTTTATTTCGCCATAATCAGGCATACCATTCAAACTGAAATTAATTAACCCATTTAATCTACTATTAAAAAAATGACAACAACGTAAATATAATGCTACTATCTGTATCAACGATAGAGTCAAGACGGGTTTAAGTTGGATTGATTATTAGAAGTCTTATCATTGCACGGTCTCTAACTGTTGAGGAATTTTATCTGGCTGGTTCTGATAATTGCTACTTTCACTTTGCCAATTTTTTCCAGTATATTATTTTCTGTTATAGATCATATGCTTTGGTTTCTCTATCAGCCACACTGTCGATGTTGCAAGTACTGGACACCAGGCACTCAAGCAACAAGATGAGAGTTTATATTAACACAAGATAAATAATAATAAAGGGAATAGATTCTATTGTAACAGTGGGAAATAGTGAATCTGTCGCTTGCTTACTTATTTAGCTATATGATTCATGTCTGTATTAATCACTCTTTTTTTCTTGTCTTGTTTATAGGCTAAAGAGGTTATTGGATTTGATCGATCTTGGATATATAAATGAGCACACTTTATTATTGTAAAATTAAATATATTTATACATGTTCTCATTATCCTAATTATTTCGATTATTCCAATTATCCTAACTATACCATTATCCTCTTTATTCCACTTATTCTCACTACAATACCCAGATATGGCATCATGCCTTATAATCCTATAATATTATCAACAAAACACTCAAAAAGCTCTAAAAAAAAAACAGTATATTGATAATAAAAAAAAAGAAAGAAAAGCAAGGCAAGTTTCGGGAAGTATCAATACAATAAGAAGTAGAAAGAAAAAAATTAACAAAATAATCAAATAAAATTATTAACACAATATTCTTAAAATTACTAATAAATGTAATAATTTTAAATGATTTGTGAGACAAAATCAAAGAAGTTAAAAAGTAATTAGAAATATCATGTAATTAATATTTTGGCAAAGTGAACCATGATGATAAATTGTAAGGAATAAATTTAAATCTTTCTAAAAATATAAATAAAAAAAGGCAATTTTATTTATTTAAATATTCCAATTAAATATTAAAAAAAAACAATATAAATTAATTTATATATAAAAATACTAGTATTATGGTTTCTTTTCAAAAAATAAATATAATAAATATTAGTTTAATTATAAAATAAAATAACAAAGCTTAATAAAATACAGTATATTATTTTAACTTGAATATTTTTTTATATAAAGTTAAATATATCTGAAACTATTTAAAAATTTTATGACCTATGAATCTATAGCATAGTAGTAGTGCTCCATAGATTACCAGAAAAAAGTCTAGGGTTCAAATTTATTTGATTACAAAAAATATATCACAAAAATCTAATTAAACTAGATAACAATAGAACTTTTAACCTTTCTGGTGATTATAAGGTTGCAATAAATCAAAAAAAAATAATTGCATAAAGAAAAGCTTCATATTTAATTCTGGCTAAACCTTATAGCTATATTACATTAAAATCTCAATAAATATTTTATACTACAGATTGAACAATAAATTATTTAACTAATCCTGCTTGACTCTTCTTCCAAATCTATAATTAGTTCTAATTAGGACTCCTAACAGTACCACTTTGATATCAATTTGATACCAGTTTGATACCAGTTTAATACTTAAATTTACTATAAATTCATATAAGTGGGTTATAACCCATATATCAAATTTACTATAAATCGGTACTATTTCAATACCACTTTGATACCAGTTCGATACTTTTCAGAGTCCTATATATAATCTATGTCAAATATAAGAAGGATTTTAGAACTTGTATAGATAAGATTAATTATAAAAATAAAGAAAGTCTTCATTTAACTCAAATTTAAGAGTTAAATACTTACAAAAATCAAATTTTTTCTAACTCAAAAAAATAAAATATTAAGAAAACACTTAGCATATAATTGAATTCATTTAATCTTAGAAACAAAAGTAATAAAATATAACTATAAATTAAATATACTGTAATTTTCTCTTAAAACAAGTAGAAAAAAGCAACTTTAAAAAGTTGCAAAACTATTTGAAGTTCCAATAGAACATAATGATATTCAAGTTTTAGTGATAGAAAAAAACAAGTAGATAATTCTAAGTTTTAATAATCTAATAGAAGTTTTACTTGTAAATAATAATTTCAAAATATATTTTCAATGAAAATATTCTTACAAACATCAATAACAATATATTAATCTCAACAGTCTTCTCAGAAAATTCAAAAATATCTCTATGATATTTTTATTTAATATAAGAAAAATAATTTTAATGAATATTCCAGCAATTATACAATCAAGAAATTTA